ACTTGAAATCAACCATTGTGGCAAAGAGCATTTCATATAGTGATAAACTTAGTCCTGGGGCCATTGCCTGTGCCTCAGAAGCACCAAAACCCTAATAAGAAATGGGCAAGACATACATGAGAAAAACTACAAAATTCTACCAAAGTACATGAAAGAACTCCTAAGTTAATGGAGCAACATACTCATGAATAAAAAAACTCAATTATGAAAATGTCAGTTACTGTCTATATAGTTGATATAATGGTAACCAAAATCCTCCTAGATTTTTATGGTCGATTCTTAAGTTTTTGTGGTAAAGAAACTGCACAAATGGACCAAAAAAATATTAAAAAGGAAAAATGATGAGGTGGGATTTTACCTATCAGATATCAAAACAAATGTAATGCTATAGTAATTAACACTTGGTGTTGGTATAGAAATAGATAAGTGGAGCAGTTTAGGAAAGCCATAGCAGGCCCATGTATATTTGCTTACTTTATAATGAAGATGCTATATATCCTTATCAATTCAGTGGAGAAAGGACAAACTATTCAGTGGATCGTAGGGATACTAGATATCCATTGAAGTCAGAGCCCTGTCTCATACCATCTCCAAAATAAGCCACAGGTCTTTTAAAAAGCAAAAGAATATTCTATAAGTAAGAGAAAGAATTTGTATAAGATTAGGATGAGAGAAACTTTTCTAAGCAAGATGTAGAACCTAGAAGCCATAAAGGAAAAGACTGATGTGTTTGCATAAGAAATTAAAACTTGTACATTGAAAGATAACATTAAAAGTTTCCTTGCTTTGCATTCAAATATAGATGAAGTTTTTTGTTTTTGTTTTTAAATAAGGCAGACTAAAAGAAGAAATAAAGAATTAAGTAGACCTACTTGTATATGCAGACATGGAAATTTCTCTGAAAATAGCAAGTGGCAAGAATAAGAATAAAGGATAAAAAGTATTCCTTTTGAAATGTTATGTCTGTTGATCTATATCTGAGTGCAAAACAAGGAAATAGGACAACAAGGATACACACTAGGCTTTACAGGGGTCACCTCTGGGGAGGGGCTGTGAGGATAGCACAGAAGTAGAGAGGCAAAAGGGGATTTTGCTTAAATACTCCCACATTGTTTGAGTTGTTTTCTTTTTTGAGACAAGGTTTTGCTCCATTGCCCACGCTGTTAACTCACTGCAGCCTTGAACTCCTGGGCTCAAGCGATCCTCCTGCCTTGGCCTCCCAACACTGGGATTACAGGCCTGTTTGAGTCTTTTAAAACAAGAATGTGCTCATATTTTAATCTTTTGAGAATATATTCTTATATTACTTTTAACAGGAAAAGAATTTTTTAAATAGTTATATATGCTCATTATATAGAAAACTTAAAAGTATGTTGCACAACACAGAAATAACCATTACTTAAATGTTGTGCATTTTCTTGCAGTGGTGTTTGTTTGTTTTGGTCATAGATTGCCTTATTGGCTTTCAGTGTATTGCAGTTTTGTTTCCAGCTTTTTAAAAACTAAATTTTATTCTGTGAGAATTTTTCAGTGACATTAAAAATTCTCTGAAAACATTTTCTTTGTCTGAATAATTATGACACATCCATACCATGAAATACTAAATATTTCTCTGTTGAGACAAAATAATTACATTGCTTTCATCTTTATATGTAAATATAAGTTTTGGGTATTCACTGGTTCCTTATAAGCAATTCTTAAATGGAATATCACCTTTATTAAAAATTTTAAAGTAAATCATACTGGCTCTGTTTTTTTTCTTTTTTAAGCATACACAAAAAATATAAAACTGATTTTTCCACAGCACAGTACATGAATTTTGATAAAGCAATAGGCTGAGCTGGTTGCTCTTGATGTTATCTCTTCCTCATTCCCTGTTCCTTGGCGATCTTTCCCACTTAGGAAAACCTCTATATTCCTCCTTTAATGGTTTGAACTTTATTTCTAAAAAAGAACAAATCAGAATTCCAGTGCAGCTAGCTTGAATCAATCTTTCTGTTTCTTATGAATAGGCAATTCCTCCAGGCAGTGAATTAGCCCTTTGGAAAACGTTGGCATTATGTTTCTCAACCCTGAGTGTCTGTATAGGTGGCCTGGAATGCATTTAAAGAGAAGCCTTGTGTCAGATCCTCAAATCTAAAGATGAAATACTGTTTTTACAAATTATAAGTAGTTTTTATTGTTGCAGCTGCAGTTTTGTTCTGAGTTATTGGGTTTTTAAAAATTATTATTTGCTTTAGTGAAATTTAGAAGTAGATTTGTTATAGTATATAGTTGGTTCTGGTTTTATATTATAGAAATGTGCCAAAAAAGTTTGCTCTTTAAAGGAATCCTATGGTGAATACCTTTTTTTTTTTTTTGAGACAGTCTCACTTTGTTACCCAAGCTAAAGTGAGTGCTGTTTCTATATATATTAGTTGGCCAATTAATTTTTCTATTTATAGTAGAGACGGGGTCTCATTCTTGCTTAGGCTAGTTTCGAACTCCTGACCTCGAGCAATCAGCCTGCCTCGGCCTCCCAGAGTGCTGGGATTACAGGCATGAGCCACCGCACTGGCCTATGGTGAATACCTTTTATAAATACAGTGTATCACCCCTTTTTCTATGTTTATAAATGTGGACTTTTGTATTTCTTTTAAAGATAAATATTAAGATACTTTGTTTCTAGTTCAGGCTATAATATTTAGCAGTAATTAATTTTTGCTTATGAACTAGATAGTATTTTTCCATATATTAATAACCTATATATTTTAGTTGAGTTTGTTGCTGCAAGAAAACAGGTTTTTGTTGGGATCAGTAGTTCTCAAAAGTGTGGTGCCTCCCAAACAGCAGTACCTGCATCACCTGGGAACATGTTAGAAATGCAAATTCCTGGGCCCCACCCCAGACCTGCTATGCAGAGTGAGGTGAGGCCCAGCAACGTGTGTCTTAACAAGCCCTTTGGGTTATTCTGATACGTGCTAAAGTTTGAGAACTACTGGTTCAGATAATATGTATACAGTGGCTAAAAATGTTGTCTTTTATCACTTCAGGGCCTGCCTGAGTTTGGTTTACTTCCAAGTGCATGTTAGAAACTACAGCAGCAGTGCTTCCAATAGTTGTGCAGATGAAAAACTGATAGCTGGGGCAACTTCAGAGTTGCTTTCATCATTCCCAGTAGTTGAGATTTTAAGAGCTAAGCAGTGAGCCAAGAATCCTTCACTGTTGAGTTGAACCAAATTGTTTCAGTATTTAGAATAATTAGCAGAAGCTTTTCCTTTGATAACATCATTTAGATTGTGCCACTCTCCATTATGAAGATACTTAAAATGACAAATCCTGAATTTAGTGCTCCACATTTAAAATGTGTAAGATTATTTTCAGAGTTAGGGAATTTGTGTATTAGCTCTCTTTCAAATGCTTTTAAGTTGTAAATAATTACAAACTGACATAGAGTAACTGCAACTTCAGTAACATAATTAAGGCTATATATCCTTTATTGGCTTATTTTATATAAATTTTTGAATATCTACCTATCTGATTATTTTTAAGACATTTTAATGGAAAAATGTTAATGCTAATATATGTGTGTGTGTTTTAATTGGAAAAATCCTCTACTCTTGAATTTAAATGTTATATACATTTTAAAATTATTTCAGGTGGGGCCTTCAGGGTGAAATATTAACTTTTTTAATGTTTTTATTTTATAAATGGAAGCCCTTGTCATAAAGAACTAGATCTCCTTGCTAAATTTAGGGTCTTAAAGTTTATTTTGGCTCTTAAATCTACAGCAGGTTTGTTTGTTTGTTTTTTTAACTTAGGAAGATAATTACTCTCAAGAAGAGGTATAACTGGTTTGTGGTGATATCTGCTTGACATTACCAACAGATCTTGTTCATGCTATGGATTAGAATCAGTGACTAGAGAACTATTAAAGGAAAGCTTACAATGTTCCCCTTATTCATATTGAGAAGTGAAAGATTTCCCAAAACCAGGGTAGGACTGCCAACTTTTTGAAGATAGTATTTCTGAATTTTAAGCAAAAAAGGGCATCTAAATACAATTATTTATTAATTATTTTCTAAATGTTTATAACTTGAAGGAGGGAAGAGTGAAATATATTTTAAGAAGGACCTCAATCAAATAAGTCTGAAATTTCTCATTAGTTTCTAGCAAAAGATGTGGTAAAGAATTTAGTATTGGGAATTTCCTGTGATTATTTATTTAGTCATAGACCCAGGTGAGATTAATAAAATGGAGACTGGGAAGCAATGTTCTGAAATTAACCAGTGCTTTTTTGGTGTGGGCCCAGCCGCATGCTAATGAATATTCCATATCTCCAGTCTCTATGCTGGTGTTATTTAGTCCATTTCCACATATAACGTATCCACTTTCTAAGCCGAGTAAAATGTTTAAACTCATCACTTTTTAAATATTTAAAACATACCTATAATCAGCAACAGGCAACAGATTTTTTCCTTCTCTAAGAACATAGTATGTAAAATATGCAATTGCTCATAAAGTACTTTATTTAAGAATAATAAGTGATACATTCATTATTCACAGTAAACAGGTCACAAATACTACAAGTCTACAAGAAATAGTCTAGGGTATTTTGAAAAGACTTTAGTAAGAAGTGAAACAAATTGGAAGACAGAATTTATATAAGACAATTTTTTTTAATTTTCAAATTCAATTTCTAACTAAATAATAGACCTCAAGTTATTTGGGGCAGAGTGGGAACCTGATAAATAAAGACTATGTAGAAAAGATTGAAAGCATGTTATTCATTTTTATTCATGGAATAAGAAGAAAATATTTTTTAAATCTGTTTTTTCAGTCTACCCTAATGATTTATGGTCCTTGGTTTTCTTCAAATTAGAGAAATCAGTTCCGAGTGTAGTCTTTGACTTTATTGTGACATTGACCTAGACCAAAGACAAGTTTCATTTTGTCTTCATAAACTACATGTCAAGACAGTTTATATTAGCAAGCCATTTTATTTGTTTTTGATTCTCTAGTTGTCTGAGGGAAGCCAAAAGCATGCAAACCTACAGAAAAGCATTGAAAAAGCTAAAATTGGTCGACAAGAGACGGTAAGTTTGTGTCTATATATAGATTCATTAACAATGGCAATTCTAAACAAAAGAGTAAGGACACAGGGCTTCCTATGAGGAAGGTGCCATTCCTACCAGAAGAAAAGAGGATCATAGCAAAGGACATGAACATGGTAGAGGTCACTAATTGTGAAGCTAGATTTTATTATTTTTGTTATTGTTGTTGTTATTATTGCATATAGCACAATAGCATAGAAGCATACACCCTGGAGCCAGACTGCCTGTGTTTGAAAGTCTCCTAAATTCTGTTTTCAGTTTTCTCAATTGTAAAATGAAGAATAATAAAATTTACTTAATAGGGTTACTGTGCGGATTAAACTAGTTAATATTTGCAAAGCACTTAGAAGAAGACCTGGTGGTACATGGTAAGCCTATATAAATGTTTATTTTACACAAATTATTATTATTTTTTTGAGACAGAGGCTCGCTTTGTTGCCCAAGCTAGAGTGAGTGTCGTGGCGTCAGCCTAGCTCACAGCAACCTCAAACTCCTGGGCTCAAGGGATCCTACTGCCTCACTCCCGAGTAGCTGGACTACAGGCATGTGCCACCCTGCCCAGCTAATTTTTCTATAATATATTAGTTGGCCAATTAATTTATTTCTATTTTTAGTAGAAACGGGATCTCGCCCTTGCTCAGGCTGGTTTCAAACTCCTGACCTTGAGCAATCCGCCCGCCTCGGCCTCCAAAAGTGCTAGGATTACAGGCATGAGCCACGGCACCCAGCCCTAAATGTTTACACAAATTTTTGAGTCTTTTTTTTTTTAATTTTGGCACAAAACAAACTGAAAACCATCAACATAGTATCCTCGTGGCCTTGTAATATTTTTAAGTTATTTAAATAAATATTGACCTATTTTATTTTAAAAAGTATAATGTTTCTAAAGTATTAGGTTTGACATTTATAAAAAAATCACATTACTTTCTAGTTTCATCATTATTTCAGCTATGGATTTATGACTTTAAAAAATACTGAAGATCGGCCGGGCGTGGTGGCTCACGCCTGTAATCCTAGCTCTCTGGGAGGCTGAGGCGGGCGGATCGCTCGAGTCGGGAGTTCGAAACCAGCCTGAGCAAGAGTGAGACCGTCTCTACTATAAATAGAAAGAAACTAATTGGCCAACTAATAGAAAAAAATTAGCCGGGCATGGTGGTTCATGCCTGTAGTCCCAACTACTCGGGAGGCTGAGGCAGTAGGATCCCTTGAGCCCAGGAGTTTTGAGGTTGCTGTGAGCTAGGCTGACGCCACGACCACTCACTCTAGCTTGGGCAACAAAGCGAGCCTCCTGTCTCAAAAAAAAAAATACTAAAGATCAATGTGAACCACTAAGCAGTCCATCTAGGTTTCTATTTGTATCACCTGATTGTGAAAGAAATCAACTAGAAAACCTATCACATTGCAGAAGGAATACATCACAGGTTTATGGTGGCTTTATGCTTTTAAAGTTACTTCACATATATTTTTTCATGTGAATAGTCAACACAGTCACATATAAGAATTGAAGAATGGTAATTTTTGAAGAATATTCAAAGAAAGGTAAATTCTGGGCATAACATGAAGCTGTTAAATTTCTTCTTCAGTTGACAGTAGCAATTACCACTTCTTTATTTGATTTTCTCTTTTCTTTAACTGGCAATAACTTGTAGAAGCATTTCAACTAATGGTGACATATGCGTGTCCAGAAGTTGTCAGCCAGTCTACTGACTGTTACTTAGTTCACTGGAACCAGTGCGACTAGGGGAGAAAAAGCCTACCAGCAAACATAGTTGGTGCTCACAGATATCAGAAGAGTGTAGTAGTTCATTGAGAAAGGCTCCTGAGAAAGATGAGTTCTTGTGCTCATCCTGAGCTTACCAGGCAGGACTTTGCAGAAATACCTAGCCCCTGTCGACTAGATATTATTCATAATGATGATGGTGCTGCTGCTGCTGCTGCTGCTGCTGCTGATAATGATGATGAAGAAAAAGAAATAGCTAACATGTATATTCTGCATGCTATGAACCAGGCAAGTACTGTTCTAAGTGCATTCTATATATTCACTGAATCCTACCAACAATCAAGGAGGTAGCTCCTGTCTCCATTTTACATTTGAGGAACTGGAGGCACAAAAAGGTTAAATAATTTGGCAAAGATCCCAGTGCTAGTAACTATAACACAGTTTTAATTCATGGTGTCTGGAGAGCTATCATTATACTCACACAGATGTTCACCACTTGTCTTCATCAGCTTTTTTTCCTTTTGGTTTCCTTTTTAAAGATGAGGGTCGCACTGTGTTGCCTAGGCTGTCCTCGAACTCCTGGGCTCAAGTGGTCCTCTTGCCTCAGCCTTCCAAGTAGCTGGAACTACAAGCGTGAGCCACCACGCCCAGCTTCCGTTTTCCTTTTGAAGCACATATAATTTGGGTGTAGATGGCAAATAATGACCATCTTGTTATTTTCTAGTGATTTTTAAATTTCTCCTGAGCTGTGTTAATATGATGTACACTAACAATATGCAGCTGTTTACATTTAAATTAAAATTAACTATTATACAATTAAATTCAGTTCCTCAGTCACAATAGCTACATTTCCTGTACCCTACAGCCATATGTGGCTTGTGGCTCTTACAGTGGAGAGTGCAGATGTAGAACATTTCTACCATTGCAGGGTCATGTTGGACCATGCTGCTTCAGAGCATGTTGCTCTGTATATGTATTATCTTCTACAAATGTTAGCAAAGGAACTTTCTTCACTTTAGAACGAATAGGAACAGCTAAAGGCAAATGCTGAAAAATGCAAATACGAAAATACAAGGTAGCAACGAAATTTAGACAGGTCCTGTTTAGACAACTTGAACTTGGTTTTGCCCAAGATTTATCCTATAATTCTGTACCATATCTGTGCCAGCATTTGATTTTTATTTGGACTCATTTCTAAGGTTTCACAAATATGAATTGAATACCTATAGTACTGCAACTTCTACCTGTTAATGAGAGCTACAGCTAGAAATTTCAAGTGGTGTTTATGGGATCATATTATATTTAAAAGCTTTATTCTGGTTTACCTTTAAAATAAAGTGGTGGGAGGCACATACAATTAATATAATTCTATTATTTCTGATATATTTAAATATTTCTAAAGATCAATACTTAAAAGTTGACAAATTGTCTAGAATACTTTTAAGGATAATTGATGTTGCCCTAAAATATTACTTGCATATATAATCTTATAAAACTACCCAAAAAAATAGCATAATTTTTTTCCCTCACATATGATGACATGGTTATTTTAGAGTTCATCCAGGCATAACAAGAACTTGTCATTTATTTATGAGCATTCCATTCTCATTCTACATAATTCACATTTAATTATTCAGTATATATAAAAAATGCTTGAGATTTCAGAGAAAGATGAGAATTTCACTTGTTTTTATACTGTGAATATATATGTATATATTTAATAATGTCAAAAGCCTAATACACATTATTTATGAGAAATAAAATGAAAGTGTTTATAAAATGTATTACCTTATAACATATGGGGTTTTGTTTGTCTTAATTGTGCATAAACTTATTTTGAATGCAGGAAGAGCGAACTAGGCTAGCAAAAGAACTTTCTTCACTTCGAGACCAAAGGGAACAGCTAAAGGCAGAAGTAGAAAAATACAAAGAATGTGACCCGCAAGTTGTAGAAGAAATACGTAAGTTTATGCCACAACTTTAGGGTCTTTAACTTTGATAATGAAAAAGTCTTTAGACTTCTAGTTGCCTGGTAACCATTCTCCATGTATATGATAAAGTAATGCCAGTTAAAATAGTGTTCTGCTCTGGGTGCTCTCACTTTGTATTTGTGACATAATAGGAAAATATTGCTTCATTATTTCCATTAAGAAGTCTTAATGTTAAAACATTGAACAGTGATAACTTTAAAATTACAAGCATTTCAAAAGTAAGGAAGGTGGATGGGATAGAAGGATCCAAAGACATAAAATATAAGCTTAGGAAACTGAGGAGTCAGAAAGGAGCTAATTTAGCCCTTGAGAACCTTGATTCTAAAGAAATCCACCATTATCTTCTAGGAAAAATGATACCACAGATAGAAGACTTTGCAAGCTGCACAAAATCAGTCTGTGCATTGAATTACCTTTTAAATATACCAATGATTTTTTTTTTTTTTTTTTGAGACAGAGTCTCGCTTTCTTGCCCAGGCTAGAGTGAGTGCCGTGGCGTCAGCCTCACTCACAGCAACCTCAGACTCCTGGGCTCAAGCAGTCCTCCTGCCTCAGCCTCCCGAGTAGCTGGGACTACAGGCACGAGCCACCATGCCCGGCTGATTTTATATTATATATATTAGTTGGCCAATTAATTTCTTTCTATTTTTATGGTAGAGACGGGGTCTCGCTCAGGCTGGTTTTGAACTCCTGACCTTGAGCAATCCGCCCGCCTCGGCCTCCCAGAGTGCTAGGATTACAGGCGTGAGCCACCGCGCCCGGCCTATACCAATGATTTTTTTGCCCAACTTTTAAACCAGAGTCCCCAAAACTTTATTTGGAATAATTTGTATATATTAATATGTATATAAAGATAAAAATTTAAATATTTGAGGAGATTAAAGAATATATTATAAAAACACAGCAGTAATTGCTTAGGAAGATAACTTTCTTCATATTTTTCTGTCTCAGCCTAGATTTTATTTAGAGAACTTTACCAAGTGAAACTTTTAGAGAACTGATAATATACTTTGTGCTAGAAGGCTTTGAGAGCAATTGAAACTATTTGGTACTTTAAAATTAACCTGAGAATAGTTTGACTGCAATTAAGCTGTCCTAGTCCTTGCTGGTATTCTTTACAATAAAAAATATTTTAATCAGTTCAGTTAGTGTAAATCTAAAGTCAAATTTCAGTTTAGAAACACATGCCTGCTTTGTGCAACTCTAGGAAGCATTTTTCACATACATGCAGTACATAGCCTAGATGGTGCTATGTAGTGGCCCTGTGTCCACTGATTACCCAGGGTGATTTTCAAAGAGAGGTAGAGGGAGAAGAACTCCCTGAACCAGTTTTTCTCTGTAAATTAAGTATTTGGGGAGATATGTTAGCTCTTTAATGCTGTCCACAGATTCATTTATCATCATCCTATAGAGGTGCTAACCATATCTACTGCTACAAAGTTAATCATTTTCATCTGTTTGAAAGTTTTAACAAATATCAGATGACCCTTAATGGACACAAGCACACACAGCAGCAGGAGACAGGATAGGAGGTTACTACTATTAATAGTAAGCTAGGCCTGCTCATAATTCATCTTCAGATGGAAGCACAGACTGCTTGGTCAAGAGGGTATCAAACATTGTATACCTTGTCTACAGCAGCTTCTCATGAAGGAGAATCTCAAGGACAGTTTTTTTTATCCAGGTTTAATACTTTTAGGTGATTTATTTTCAGGATCAGCATGCCTGTACCTTCTAGAAGTTCATGAACAATCTGAGTTTTCACAGTAACCAAATCAATCCTTCATTTATTACTGTGACTTGCCTTCCTTTCTGATTTCAGTTTTTTGTAATTCTTGTACTCTTTCCTTGGAGTGCCACCTCTTTGCTTATCTGTTTCATTCTCTTTTATGTCTAGGACCTACAACTCTTAACCACACCCAATAAGACTTAAGCTTTTCCACTCCCTGGTCTCTATTGTACTGCCACAGCTGTTCCCTTGGGCAGGTGACTCTAACTGACAACACCTTTAGTTGTGTCTTCCCAATCCTCTTCATAATTTTGATAACTTCTATCGACTCAAAAATGACTAAAATTCTTATATAGGCTTACTAAACTACTCTGACCTACTAATGGTGATCCTAAGCCAGCAGATCACACTGAGGTTCAGGAAATTAGCATGGAGAAAGAATTGTGCCAGACTGTTTCAGAAAGTAGGAAAACTTTTATTCCAGGTATGCAGTGTTAAGATATTGCCATTCCTTATAGATCTGAATCAAGCAGCAATTTTGGCAAGTGCATCATCTCTTAGAAAAATAATCAAACTTAAAGTCAAGTTTCAAGGCCAGGCGCTGTGGCTCACGCCTATAATCCTAGCATTTCGCGGAGCCACAGTGGGAGGATTAATTGAGGCCAGGAGTTTGAGACCAGCCTGGGCAATACCGAGGCCCTGTCTCTACAAAAAATTTTTTTAAATTACCTGGGCATGGTGGCATGTGCCTATAGTTCCCAACTACTCAGGAGGCTGAGGCAGGAGGATCACTTGAGCTTGGGAGTTGGTTGCTGCTATGGTGAGCTATGACAATGCCACTGCACTCTAGCCCAGGAAACAGAATGAGACCTTGTCTCAAAAAAGAAAAAAGTTGCAGGATACACAAAGGATGATGAACTATCTGGAGAGTGGAATAACACAGTTGAGGAGAAAGTTATGAAGTTATTGAAAATTTTATACTGAAATTTTATATTGGTTGCCTGCATTCTGCTCTCCATCTTAACCCTTGAATTTGAAAGTTTGGTAACTTATTTCCCAACTCAGTTCTCTATCCATGTTAATTTCCTGAACCTCAACTCAGGGAAAAGGTGCCAATGTGAATGAGTATTATGCAAGATATGAAGTCTGAGTAAGAAGAAAAAATAAAGTTTCCTAGTTTTAAGGGAGTAAAGAGACTAGACTATCATTCTTCATCAATATCAGACCTGGGTTATCTTTTAATAGTTATTTATACAGCCACATAAAGATGTGTCTGTATTGGATCCTGGAGAATTTGTAATAGTGAATCTATTTTTTTTTTTTTTTTTTTTTTTGAGACAGAGTCTCACTTTGTTGCCCAGGCTAGAGTGAGTGCCATGGCGTCAGCCTAGCTCACAGCAACCTCAAACTCCTGGGCTCAAGCGATCCTTCTGCCTCAGCCTTCCAAGTAGCTGGGACTACAGGCATGTGCCACCATGCCCGGCTAATTTTTTCTATATGTATTAGTTGGCCAGTTAATTTCTTTCTATTTATAGTAGAGACAGGGTCTCACTCTTGCTCAGGCTGGTTTCAAACTCCTGACCTCGAACAATCTGCCTGCCTCAGCCTCCCAGAGTGCTAGGATTACAGGCGTGAGCCACCGCGCCCAGCCAATAGTGACTCTATTAGATATATTAATTTTCAACTTGGAAATAAGAAGGTAAAAGTCCTTCCTTCCTGGCTTTGTGTAATTTTTACTCCATTGAAGAATATTATCTATTTTTATGGAGTACTTTAATTATAGAAAACTTAACATATTTTATAGATAGTAGATAATAGAATAATTACATTATTCCATAAATGGATTTTAGATGTGAGGGTAAAATGTCTTTTTCTATGGAAAGCCACTAAATTTCCAGTCATAAGGGAAAAAAAAACTGTCAAAGTGTTTATATACTGGTAAAAAGAATTTTTAGACTAACTTCAATTCATACTTTTATAGAGAGATGTCTGTTTCCTTTCCCTTTAAGATTCAGAACAGCAAACATAAAACTTTATTCAAATGCAGCACAGATGGAGTAACAGGGACTGGATTTAAATAACAAAAACAAAAACCAGTGGTTTTCAAAATATTTGACATCAGAGAACAAAGGACAGTGATTCTTAGAGAAAGGAAACAGATGAAGTGAGCCTTATTAGTGTTCCAGTTTATTTTGTTGAGAGAGTTTCCTAGCCTCAGCATAATAAAAGAGAACCCAGACAGAGTCCTACATATTCCCTGAGTTGAGACGAAACTGAGAGGAAGACCAGCATGACTAGAGTTCACAGGAAAGTGTACCTACTAGAGAGGAGGGAATTGTACAGAAAGAGAACTCTGGATATATACAGAGGGTCCCCATCAAATATTCAGTACAGCCATTTGAGGAAACTGCCCAAGGCTGGGAAAGAACCATCTGAAAGCATAGAAGGAACAGTGCCAGGCACTCACTAAGGACCAGGAATAGTGCTTGTTCCTACCAGCCATATTGGGAAAATTTATAATTCACAGGGCATTAGATAGAGCACTCAAGAGGGTCTTTTCTCAATAGAGGGAAGAATTAGCCCTAGACTAAGCTCTGTCTTGGACCTGCCTAACAAATCATAAGATCAAGACTTGAAAGCATCAGACCATTGCCAAATAACTTACATACATCCCCAAACAAAGCTCAAGAATATTTATAAGAATAAAAAATATTTAGCAACTAACAAAATTTCTTATGTTTGGCATACAAGCAAATATTACCAGGTATGCAAAGAAGTAGGAAAACATAATTTATAATGAGCAGAATAATCATTGAATCAAAACTAACCCATAAATTAGAATCAGAAGATGAGAACATTAAAACGATTACTATTAAAATTGAATTCCTTGGCCAAGTGCGGTGGCTCACGCCTATAATCCTAGCACACTGGGAGGCAGGTGAGAGGATCGTTTGAGCTCAAGAGTTCAAGACCAGCCTGAGCAATAGCAAGACCATCTCTACTAAAAATAGAAAAAATTAGCTGAGTGTGATAGTTCATCCCTGTGGTTCTAGCTACTCAGGAGGCTAAGGCAGAAGGATTACTTGAGCCCAGGAGTTTGAGGTTGCTGTGAGCTAGGCTAACGCCACGGCACTTGCCCGGGCAACAGAGTGAGACTGTCTCAAAAAAAAAAAAAAAAAAAAATCCTCATGTTCAAAAAGTTAAGTAGAAACATGGAATATAGAAAAATGACCCAAGGCCGGGCGCTGTGGCTCACGCCTGTAATCCTAGCTCTCTGGGAGGCCGAGGCGGGTGGATCGTTGGAGCTCAGAAGTTCAAGACCAGCCTGAGCAAGAGCCGAGACCCTTTTTTAAAAAAAAAAAAAAAAAAAAAAGTTAATTGGCCAACTGAAAATGGAAAAAATAAATAAATAAATAAAAGGAATAAAAAGAAAAATGACCCGAGTTGAACTTTCAACATGAAAACTACAATGTCTGGCATGAAAAATACACGAGGTTGGATTAATAGAAGATTACTTTTGCAGAAGAAAGAATTAGTGTATTTGAGGACATAGCAATAGATATCATCCAAAATAAAAGAAAAAGCTAACTTAAAAAAATATGAAAATGGGCCGGGCATGGTGGCTCTCGCCTGTAATCCTAGCACTCTGGGAGGCCGAGGTGGGCGGATTGCTCGAGGTCAGTAGTTTGAAACCAGCCTGAGCAAGAGTGAGACCCCATCTCTACTATAAATAGTTAGAAAACTAATTGGCCAACTAACATACATATAGAAAAAATTAGCTGGGCATGGTGGCGCATGCCTGTAGTCCCAGCTACTTGGGAGGCTGAGGCAGAAGGATTGCCTGAGCCCAGGAGTTTGAGGTTGCTGTGAGCTAGGCTGACGCACTCACTCTAGCCTGGGCAACAAAGTGAGACTCTGTCTCAAAAATATATTTATGAAAATGGCATCCATGAGCTATAGGACTTTAAGCAACCTAATATATGTGTAGAGTCTCAAAGGAGTGTGTTTGCGGGGAGGGAAGGTTGCTGGGCCAGAAAAGTATCTGAAGAAATAAAAGCGACAGCTTTTCAAATTTGATGAAAACTATAAACCCACATAAATAAGAAATTTAAATATTTAAGTAGTAGATGACAGTGATCTCCTAATCACAAAATTGAGAGAATGTTTTTAGACTTTAACTTCTACTCTCCCAAATCTCCTTTTTAATAAAATTATTGTTTTTCAAATGTGCTTCTTGATAATGAGTGGTTTCATAGGATTTCAGCTAGCATGTTAGTGCAGAACAGATTATACTGGATTAAAGGATTATGGGTTTCATAAATTGATTTTAATAGGATTTGGTTGTTAATAACATGACTATAGCAGCTATATTATAACACTCAAGGTTATCTCTAAGTCTGTCATGGTTTATTTGGGATGCAATTTTCTGATAATAGCCATAACCATTTGTTCATATAGGCGTGGCTATATATTATCTCTTTTTTCTTACTAATGCCTATAAGAAATATTTATATTTCATCATGACAGTTGAATTATTGATATCATTAAGCAAATATTAGCAAGATTAATTGCTAATTTCTAAGAAGTGTAACATAAAAGCAATAATTCACTTAAAAATAAATTTTAATTTTAGCTATGCTGACCACTATTCAAATAAAACCAGATAAAACAAGTAGTAGAAACTAAATTCCCATAAAAATATTTGAAAGTAAGTGATCTTAGGCGTACTTAAGAAATTTTCTTAGGAATAAATGCAAGGATAACCATGAAAAGGTAGAGTAAGGACTTCTGAAAACTTGCCTTTACATAAGAACTCACAAAAATTGTTACAATCAACTTTTTCAGAACTTTGGAAATGAATTAAAGGTTTTCAGGAGCCTATTCAAGAAAAATTGCTAACCCTCCGGAAGAATAGTGAGCTTTGGTGGTGTTTTAACTTGCCTTATTCTCATCCCTACTCTGCAGCTGAGCAGTAACCTTGAAAGATAACAGCTCTGCATTCCTATAGTCAGAGGGAGCAGAATGCAGCTGGAGCTCATTAAGTGCCTCAATCCCAAAGACGTGTCATTATTTATGTATCTGGTGGTTCCCTGAAAGACACCAATAGAAAGGATTGTCTTTGACCTGGCTTGGAGTTGCCCAGTAATATAATTTTCTCCCTGGGGAGTATTTTTTTTAAAGCAATTACAAGCAGGAGTTCTAACTTTACAGCTGTCTTAAGTGATGAGTAACAGTTGAGGCAAACAGTAGATTAATCAAAAAGTTTAAAAGGAGAAACTGAAGGAGATGTCCATAGGTTCTTTTAAAAGCAATATATTCCTGGAAATCTAGAAGGCTACATACATGGTAGGGCTATTCACAATCTCCGTAAAGACCTGAAAAGGCCCTAAGCTCCCACATCTATCTGACCTGGATGCTCTATGCAAGCAAGAAGTAAAGACAAAGGCAGAGTTATAAACTGCCTATATGAATGTTGAAGGCATGCCCCAACACACATGCGCACTTGCGCACACACACAGCTCCTTAGCAAAGACTTGGCTGAGCTCTTTGGCAAAGATAACCTCTTCACAAAGAGATTTAATCCATGTGTTTAAGGAAATCTCTGTTTAATCAATAGCAGATCACTACACTGAGTAGACACTTCAGTGGCCACACACCACAAAGAACACAGACTTTACAGAATTAGTTCAGAAAAATTAATAAACAAATGCCAACAACTACAAGCAAAAACTCTAGGGAGGGGGAAGAATATGATTTCCAGGGTTGCTATATTATACTATTTTAACTGTCCAGTTTTGCTACCAAAAATTATAAGATCCCATCCTCCCCGGGATGTGAATCATCCCTTTGTCCAGCATGTCCATGCTGTGAACACTGCCTGTTAATCACTTAGTAGTTGTCTGGGTTATCAGATTGACTGTCACAGTATCACAGTGCTTGTGTTCAAATAACTCTGATTTTACTTAATAATGGCAAAGAAACAAAGTAAGACTCACACTGGAATAAAAACAATCATTAGAAATTGTTTCTGAGGAAGCCCACATGTTGGACTAACTAGACAAAGACTTTAAGTCAGCTAATTTAAATATATTCAAAGAGCAAAAGGACACCATGTCTAAAGTACTAAAAGAAGGTCCAAGAATATTATTTCACCAAATATAAAATATTAATAAAGAGATAGAAATTATTAAAAAGGAACCAAATAGGCCTGGTGCAGTGGCTCACACCTGTAATCCTAGCACTCTGGAAGGCCGAGGCAGGTGGATCGCTCAAGGTCAAGAGTTTGAAACCAGCCTGAGCAAGAGCAAGACCCCATCTCTACTAAAAATAGAAAATAAATTAATTGGCCAACTAAAAATATATAGAAAACATTAGCTGGACATGGTGGCGCGTGCCTGTAGTCTCAGCTACAGGCACGGGAGTCTGAGACAGTAGGATTGCTTGAGCCCAGGAGTTTGAGGTTGCTGTGAGCTAGGCTGATAGCACAGCACTCTAGCCCAGGCAACGGAGCGAGACTCTGTCTCAAAAAAAAAAAAAAAAAAAAAAAGGAACCAAATAGAAATCCTAAAATTGAAAACTTTAATAACTGAAATGAAAAATTCACCAGAGGGGTTAACAGCAGATTTGAGTGGGCAGAAGAAAGAATTGATAAACTTGAAGATAGTTCAATTGAAATTTTCTAATCCGAGGAACAGACAGAAAAAAATAATGATGAAAAAAATGTTCTTGAATTAGATAGTGGTGATGGTTGTATACAACTTCTGAATATAATAAAAAACAATTATATACTGTTATGTGGTGAATTCTGTGATATGTAAACTATCTTTCAATTTTCAAAAAGGCCATCATTATAAATAATATTTATGCCCAGTTGATCATGGCATTGTTATGTGCTGTATAAATGAACTTGAAAGATATAATGTACATACAGATACATTTAATAGCATTATGTGTCATGCCTGTAAACTCAGCACTTTGGTAGGCAGAGGCGGGAGAATCACTTAAACTCATAAGTTCGAGGCTACAATGAACTACGATCACTCTCTGCCCTGTACTCCAGCCTGAGTGAAAGAGTGAGACCCTGTCCTTTAATTAATATTAACTAAAAAGTAAATATTTCTTCCTGTTGGGCTACCTTCTTACCACAAAAATTTTTTAAGGTCAGGCTTATTATAGTTAAATAATGTACAGTAAAATTCTTACAATTAAATTTAAGTTGTTTTATCGTATTTTGTTATGGTAAGTTGTTTTGAGAAACACATCTCATTTAAACTTCTATGTTGCCTTTAAAGGAGCAAGTACACTGATGATGAACATTTAGGAAAGGGAAATTGTTTATATTGACTTTCTATTAATGACTAATATAACTGCACCTATCTAAAATTTTTGGGAATTTGAGCAGGTTTATAAGATCAATGTTATATCACTATTTGAACTTTTTTTCATAGCCATCTTATATATATAAATTTTATTAAAATTTTGTTCATATGAAAAAGACATAAATCTGAATGTAGCCAAAGATAATTTTATATATGTAAATATGTAAAGGTATAAGTTTTACATATATAATTTTTTTCAGGTCAAGCAAATAAAGTAGCCAAAGAAGCTGCTAACAGATGGACTGGTATGTATTATAACAACACTGGTAAACTATAGTTAAACTTCTTCCACACCTACTATAATGTAAAATTCAGATATCTTTGTGCTAACATTATTTAAAAAAAAGAAAGAGCATTTCTGAAAATAATATGCATTACTCAAGTTTTTATATATTAAATCATTTCAGTTGCTTCAGGTCAGTTTTTTTTATAATCTTATTATGAGTCATTTTGTAAAGTATAAAATATTTTTGTAAGACCAATGATTGCTTCTATTAACTATTGTGCAGCTTTTCCCAAGATAAGTCACTTGGGCTAATGACTTAACTTTTATATATGTTAATGTAAGATACACCTTTAAGAATTTCATGAAATCCTAAAGATTTATCTTCTTGCTAATAATAATAGTTAACATTTGTTGAGGGCCGACTATCTGCCAGTTATTTTGTAATTGGTGTCTGCGGTGCATTCTCATTTGATCTCCACAGTACTCTTGTGAGGAATTAATGATATGATATGTGAGGATAATAATAGGATTATTACCCCTAATTTAAAAGATGAAGCTGGCTCACACCTATAATCCTACTCTGGAAGGCCAAGGCAGGCGGATTGCTCAAGGTCAGGAGTTCAAAACCACCCTAAGCAAGAGCCAGATTGGTCTCTACTATAAATAGAAAGAAATTAATTGTCCAACTAATATATATAGAAAAAATTAGCTGGGCATGGTGGCACATGCCTATAGTCCCAGCTACTCAGGAGGCTGAGGCAGAAGGATTGCTTGAGCCCAGGAGTTTGAGGTTGCTGTGAGCTAGGCTGACGCCACGGCACTCACTCTAGCCTGGGCAATAAAACGAGACTCTGTCTCAAAAAAAAAAAAAAGCAAAAAATAAAAGATGAAGCTAAAGCTAAGGCTCTCAGGAGTCCAAGGCCACACATGTGCTAGGCAGTAGACCAGGAATTAGAATCCAGCATTTCTGATTCCAGAGTCTGAGCCCTCACTCACTACATGATTATGTCTTCTCTGCAAGCCTGCAGAGAAGGCTCAGAAATGCCTCCGAAATTCATTTGTCAAAGGATATACCTTCTGATGTACACCAGAGATACTCCATATAAACAGGAATTAATAAGACATTATCTTTGTGGCTTAAGGTTAAGGAGAAAGTTAATAAATAGTGATTGCTGTGAATTATATACAAGTATTATTATTGTTAAAACCTGTTAGAAATTTACACTGATATTTTTCCAATACTTAATTACAAAACAATGGTAATTGAATTTTTCCACCCCGTTAAGAATCTATAGTGCCTTCACATGTATTTTCTCATCCTTATTATGTTTCTGTGGGAGAATATGGATAAGGTTAAGTTGACACGGAGATGTAAAAAGCTTCAAGTAACTACATTTAGTCAAAGATGATTAGTCACTGGAAGAATGGAGTTTTGAGTCAGGTTTCCCTGACTCCCTATCCAGGCCTCTGTGTTTTTCACAAAAAAATTTAATCATTTAAATGAGTCATTTTTTTCCTAGTCTTTTAGAATCAAGTAGATTGATAAAATCAATATGACTGGCCTTCAGTTTTGTGTAAAATTTTTTGTAAAATTGCAACCTTATTTATTACAAAGTTATTTCCTAAATAATATAATGCTTTAGTGATAAGAACAGAGGAAGGTAAAAACAGCAAACTAACATTAAAGAAAAGAGAATAATGAAATATATGTCCCACAAAATATAAATAAATAATAAATGCAGTGATATTGTATAGGTTTAAGAAATATAAACTTCAGTCCTAAAACAGAAGCAAGTAGATTTTTAGGTGAAAAATAAGACAAAGTCCAAGGTGATTTCCCCCCAGTAGGTCTCAAAAAAGAAGCTCAGCAAACAGTAGAAACAGGTAGCATGTGTGTGGTGGAAGGAACTTGACTTTGAAAGGAATCCAAGCTGTGCTCCTAACTTGCTATATGACCTCTTGAACTTCTCTGAACCTGCTTCCTCATCTGTTTAATGTGGATAAATAATATCTACCTCACATTTTAGGAGACTTAAATAAGATAGTTTGTAAGCCCTTCAGTACAATGTTAGACACATAAATACTCCTCTTTTCTTTTTCTCTTAAAAAAATCCTTTTATGTTTTCCAGTTGATGATAAACTTCCAAAATTATGATTAGAAAAACAGTTGGAACAACTCCTCCCCACCCCCTATGTTATTAGCTGTGAAAGAACCTGGAACTTTAAAAATCATGTAGAAAGGAGATATTTTTAGAGCAGCAGAAACAGCTATTAAGAACCATATTTCCATTTGAAGTTACAACTTACTCCTTCCAACATAAACATGTGTTATGAAAAGATGGAGATAAGAGATAAAGCAAATTATACCTCAGAATCTTGTCTTTACAACAAACTTGTCTTTACAACAAACAAAAAGAAAATATCAGTAAAACTTGTAACTAAAAGTTATCATAAAGGTATTAGTTAAGGTTTGCTTTCTTTTTACTTAAAAAAGTTCTTAAACTGTATCTAGATAGCTGGGTATGGTGGCTTATGCTTATAATTCTAGCATTTTTGGAGGCTGAAGCAGGAGGATCGCTTGAGGTCAGGAGTTCAAGACCAGCCTGAGGAATATAGTGAGACCTTGTCCTAGGAAAAATAGAAAATTACCCGGGTCTGGTGGCACCCACCTGCAGTCAAAGCTGCTAGAGAGGCTGAGACAGGAGGATGGCTTGAGTCCAGGAGTTTGAGGTTGCTGTGAGCTATGATGATGCCACGGCACACTACGCAGGGTGACAGTGTAAGATTCTTAGAAAAAAAAGAAAGAAATAGATGAAATTAAGGGGAAAAAAAACCCTGTCATTTCAACCCCCCAAGTGCAGCCCCTGGTGGCACATTGCCATTGTCCTGCATCCCCACAGCCTGTGCATAGGCACATTTCCCTGATGAGCAGACATTCAGATTGCTTTTATTTTTTTCTGTTATTGCACTGGTGTGAAGATCCTTGACCAAAAATCTTTGTACACATTTGTTTTATTTCCTTGGGATAAATTCCCTTAAGTAGATACAACACTTTTTCAGTGGTAAAATGCATTTTAATTCCCCCTAGGGGATGTTGAGGACACTTCTGTTCCTGTCTTAGTCTTAAGAGAGGAGACGCCCTTTCCCTCCTCCCTACCCCTCTCCCTCACACAGGCCTGATTGTCTGGAAGCCATTACTCTCTGTGGGAAAGGAAGAAGGGTCTGGAGAAAATGTGTTCCCTTTGGGAACAAGAGCAATTCCAATTCCTGAGGTGATAGTCCCAGCCTCTGCTGTGGAAATGCAGAAAAGATAGCGTTAACCTGTCCCTGTCTTTGTATTAAATACTGTTCTTAGGTCAGATATTCTTTAGCAGCAGTCAACTTACTGAATATTTAAATATGATGTCTATTAACTTATTCAAAATAGTTTTAAAATATAATCTTTTTTCCATAATTAGTTGCCATTACAACTGAAAATACAGAAAACTCTTTTTATTTTGATACTTCTGAAAGTTAATAGAAGAAAGTATAGAACAAGGAAGATAATTATACTTGAAATGTTTTATGATTTTGTTTTTAATTCTCAAAAGTACTTCTCAATTTTCTTTATAGATAATATATTTGCAATAAAATCTTGGGCCAAAAGAAAATTTGGACTTGAAGAAAATAAAATTGATAAAAATTTTGGAATTCCAGAAGACTTTGACTACATAGACTAAAATGTTTGATGGTGGTGAAGGATGGATCTATGAGCTTGTGAATATGTAAATTTATAAATAATATTCAACTAAATGTACTGAATTGTCATTTACTTGTAACTGTGTTTCATTTTATTAATTTTAAATAAAGTATAAAATTCTGATGTTCTTCACCTTTTTTGGTAGGTCAGAAACAAGATGATAGCTGTATTCACACAGTACCCATCAGCTTAGGACAGTAAAGCACTCCACACACCTCAGTCAAGTCAGGCTATAAGTGTTATTATACATTACAAAAGATCAAAACCATGACATAACATTTTTTAGTTTCATTTAAATATTAACTACTAAGGTTGTGTTTGAAGCTTCTGTCTTACACACACACCTCTACACCTAAATTCATGGAAATTACCTTTATTTTTTTTTTTTTTTTTTTTTTTTTTTTTTAGCACGAAGTTCAGTCTGCAATCTTTAAAACCCTAATGGCTGCTTTACTATTTCCCAGTAGTGATTGATACTCAGTATACTGCATCATCCTTGCAAATTTCCTACTAAAAAACAAAATACAGAAAGTCAGTGTTCCTCAAATTTATAGTTAAGTAGTCCCCAGATATGAAAACTACTCTTTTTTTGAGTTTTTGATAACTTTCTACTAGAAAGAACAAGCATATGGCCCTTTGTCCTGATTTATGTACTTTTTATAAGATGACATCTAGTCATGGGTCACTTATCAACAGGGATACATTCTGAGAAATGCATCGGTAAGCAATTTTGTCATTGTGCAAACATCATGGAGTGCACTTACACAAACCTAGATGGTATAGGCTACTGCATATCTAGATTATGTGGTATAGCCTAGTGCTCCTAGGTTACTGCACTGAATACTGTAGGCAATTGGAACACAATGGTAAGGATTTGTGCATGTAAACATCCAGAAGGTACAGTAAAAATACAGTAGGAAAGATAAAAAATACACCTGTGTAGGGCACTTACCATGAATGGAGCTTGCAGGACTGGAAGTTGTTCTGGGTGAGTCAGTGAGTAAATATGAAGGCCTAGGGTATTACTGTACACTACTGTAGACTTTATAAACACTACACATTTAGGTTACAGTAAATTTATAGAAAATATTTTTCTTCCTTCAATAATAAATTAACTGTAGCTTACTGTAACCTTTTTACTTTATAAACTTTTAATTTTTTAAATTTTTGACTCTTGTAATATCTGCTTAAAACACAAACACATGCACAATTGTACAAAAATATTTTTATATCCTTCTATAAGGCCTTTTTCTGTTTTAAAATTTTTTTATTTCTTTTTA